CGCTCCACCTCCTCCTCCTCCTTACTGTCCTGTCTCGCTCGTCCACCACCAGCTTTCACCTCCCCACCTCCCCCTCCCTTCAGTATTAAGTGTGCGTCCTCCTCCATCGGGCTCCAGGACACCGAGCCACAGGCAGACCCCCAGCTGCTGCTGCTCCTTCTAGGCGCGGAAGCTGCTCCGGCGGTGGGGAATCTCTCCGCTGCTGTTCGCCTCTTGTATTTGTCTCCTTCTATTCCTTCTTCCGTTCCTCTAAAATTGCTCCATGGCTGTGTCCTCCTCCGTCTGCCCACATCGGCACCAAAAGAGAAAGAAAAAAGGATGGTGATCGGAGCGCAGCGAGCTGCTCTGCGCTGCGCCGATGCAGTTTTAAGCCCTGCGTCTTTTATTACCAAACCCTCTTTATTACAAGCGTGTTTACAGTCTCTACCCCCTCCTCCTTCTCTACTTCTTTTTTTCTCCTCCTTCTCCTCCTCTCCACCCCACATCCAGCAGAACTCCGTTCTTTATAAATATGCAACTAAAACCTCAGACACATCTTAAAGTTACTGCAGCCACTTCTAACAATGTGCGCAAAATATATGAAGTGTTGGATTAATGGAGACAAATAAATGATGGATGGATGGATGGATGGATGGATGGATGGATGGATGGATGGATGGATGGATGGATGGATGGATGGATGGATGGCTTATCTACCTTTGCACACTCTCCAGATAAGAATACTTTATCTTCAATAAACAACAAAACAAAAACAAAACTAACTATATTTGGAACATAAATTGATCCGTTTTCAGATGTTGAAATGTAAATGAATTAAGCCTATTCTAAAGTTAAATTTTTGATTTATTTTGAATTCTACAAACTGAATCATAGTTTGGTTCCCTAATTCTGCTTATTTATTAATGTCTTCTGCTTCTGTCTCATCTATTGCAGCAAACAAATCTTTCACTGATATATATATATATATCAGCTACCCCATCACTCAGAACTTTTCTGAACAAGGGACACGACGGACATAATTGTAAGAAAATGAGTCAGAGAACTAAACCCATCTCCAGAATGTCATTTATACACAATTTATAACATGAAGCCGCTTATTTTTTATCTAATCTCAGTCTCGGAATGGTTCCTTCAAAGTTGTGGCGTAAATTGTGAATCTAACTGTTTAACTCACTGCGCACATTTAAAAAAGTTGCAATACTTGGGCTAGTGCTGGTCAAGTGTGACTGTAAAAAAAAAAAAAACCTTCTGATTATTTCAAACAGAGGTTGTTAAAAAGTATTTACAAGTTGCAGGTTAGTTCAAAATTCACTGCATTGGTAAGCAGATAGTGAGTCTGGAGGTTCTAATATCACTTTTCTCGACCCTAAAGGTTGTGTCTAGATACAATAGACAGTCATCTGTTTCATTACTGGTATTGGATTTTAGATAATGCTTCACATTTATGAGATATTTTCCAAAATCTGCAAACCCTTAAGAGTTATTTCCCAAACGAAGAGAGAACACGTAGGAGGATGATTGAAAATCTTTCTGTTTTCTCTTCTTTTTTAGTGGATTCTTATGCAGATTTTCCAAACAAATGTATTATTTCTTTCTCAGGATCGATTTTTCCTTCTCTGTAGGTTGATTTCTCTTTACAGACAGACCAGAGGTATGCTGCCTGTCCCCAAGTACCATAAAACCTTTCAAAGCTGTGTTGCGAAAAATAAAATTTGTGTTAGCCAATGTCTGCCCTCTGTGGATCCTTTGTGTAAACTTTTCAATTCAATTTCGAATTAAATTCAGTTTATTTGTATAGCGCCAATTCACAAAACATGTAATCTCAAGGCACTTCAGAGACACTTCAACCAGATCATACAGTCAGATTGGTTCAAAGTTTTTGATCTAAGGAAAAGAAAACCAGCTGTTTGCATCTACTCATTGATTAGAATGCAATCCTTCACATCAAGCATGCTTGTAGCGACAGTGAAGAGAAAAACTTTGTTTTCACAGGAAGAAACCTCCAGCATAACCAGGCTCAGTGTGAGCGGCCATCTGCTGAGGCTGGCTGGGGTTCAAGGAGACAGATACAGACATAGAAAAAGAAGCAGAGATAGAAAAGGCAAACTTCAATCAGCTTCACAGGCGCCCCATCCTAGAAACAGGCAGACGAGCTCCGAACCAGCTCCTATGTCAGAGGATAAAAGATTAAATGAGAATGTTACGTTTTGCTGTAATCTCAGTCAAAATGCTTCTTGTATTAAAATGCTTTTGCCATCTTGACGAACACTGCCATTTGATTGGGTACATGATGAGTTTGCCAACATCATTTCCAAATAGCCACAACCCACAGAAAAACGCAGGGCGTGAGCCAATTTTGGTGTTGATTTGGCCATGTAATTCTGTCTGAAAATCCAAACGTTGAATACATTTTTGACGGACCTGGTGTATTTTGAAGTTTATCGGATGACCTTCCATCAGGATAACTTTGCACAATAACACAAATGCTACGTTGGAGAAAACAGCCCCAAACTTCGAGGTATAATGAGGCATAGTGGAGGATGTTCTTTTTCTGGGTGGATCATCAAAATAAGTGGTGCATTTAATTGTCAATCTCTTGATGATAACTTTACATAAGGCCATCCTACATGCTCCTTTCCATTTTCACCTACCTGTGATGTCTGACTTAGTGGGAATTCTTCTTTTGGAAGGTAAGCTTGTAGGAGTGATGCAAACAGCAACTTTTAAACAATTGTGCACGAGGAGAAATGGGCTCATGCATGCTCTTGTATGCATTTAATAAGTGTTCCCTCTATGGAGCAGGTACAGGGTTTTGCATGTGCATTTTTTTTTAAGTGGAGAATGCGGGTCTTTTCAAAAATTTAGTAAATCCACTATACCTTTAACTGTTGTCCAGTTAAAGCCTAACACACCCCAAAATCGCGTTGTAACTATAAAACTTTTTTAAGCTTATGCTGTTCTAAATAGCTAATATCAGAGCAAACAGGAAATTTGGCTGAATAGTGCCCCTTTTCATTTGGCGCTGTTTGGCTCTGCTCAACTCCACTAATTCTCAAACGTTCCCTTAATTGCTCTTTCATTACTGGTACTGCTTTGTTTTCCCTGCTCAGGAGTTGGTATGATCACAGATGAGTGGAGCCAAAAGATCCAGTAAGTTATGGAATCGTAAAAAAATCTGTGAGGTACATGTAAGTCTGTAAGTCTTCCATGGGCCAAAGGACTTATTTAACCCAACAAACTCATACTTCTGTCTTTAGATCTGTTTGCCCCTTTGCCAATTTCATACCAGCATATTGCCGGGTAGCAAATCATGTAATGTTTATTTCTTAAAACTGTACTGAACATTGTTTAAAAATTGTGTTAAGTCATAAAGAATAATTGCCAAACCATGTTCAAACGTCATACATAAAATGTATATTAGTATTAGGAAACTTTGCAAAACATGCTCTTTTAACATATTCTTATTTTTATCTCAATTTCCACCATTAAATTGTGTTGTGCATGAGGAATTTTATCCTGTGACCAATCAGAAATGTTTGACCGCCTTATGGAAAACGATTTTTTGGAGGATTATATATCTATATCTCATTGCATGTGTGAAATTTAGACTCAGCCATTTTAAATGTGCATATCTCAAAATGGTTGCATATTGTTATACGGTCCGTATGAATTGTGTCGTGAAAGATGCAATTCTGGAATGTGAGAAATGCTGTGGGTGCATCAAAACTACAAAAGGAAACACATGATTCCAACAGTTGCATTCATAGGAGGGAAATAGTTCCTTTAGGATTATTATATAAAATTGGAAGAGAAAAAATAACAATGCAAATGCTATAATGAGATGCAAATTAGCAAAGTGGCTGTTTGCCACCCTGATGCTTTATTTTCTTATGCAACATCAAGAATAGGGGCAGTTAGGAGTAAGTCTGCGGTTAAGGGCTGGGCCTTTCAACTGTCATTTCTACTCATTGCTTTCTTCAAATTACTATGTTTAAATCTATTGAATAACATCTGAGCTTTTAAAGTAGCTATAATCCCTGATCAGTGGTCTTCCATTCCATGTATCAGGAGTCAGCTAACCCAGATATAGAAATATAGAGTCAGGTTAAGACATTGTGGTCTGAGGATTTTTACAACTATTTAATCAATTACTTAAAAGTTATAAAGAAAATATGCCAATAGAGATGTAATGTGGGGGGCTTATAGAAAAGATCAAACAACAGCAAAACACATGATATGATTCCTGCCATTTGAAATCTAATTTGGCCCCTGGCCCCATACAATCTTGGGCCGGCTCTGGGTGGTGATTTCCTGATGTTTGGACCTTTGGTCCCGGATGGAAAGGACATGCTGCTGTCTCGTTGTTCAACCTGTCCCTCCTGTTCACTGCAGCCACACATACTTATCCCTTCCCCGTTTCTTTTGCGCTTCCTAATGTTGTGCACCGCTCTGGGGACACGCGTGGGTCCAGGTGAGCTCGCTCACACAAACAGACCCCCTCCCCCCATACACAGAGACTTATGCAGCAGTGCGCTCTGTTCTGCATGCACCTTCCTCTTTCTCTCTGCATATTGCTTTCATTATACATCTCTCTGACTAAAACACACACACAGACACACACACTCCTCCCTCCCGTGCAGAGCCTCTTGTCCGGCCCCCCTGATCTCTGTGTCCATTGGCTTGCGCTGGGTCTATTTCTAATGTCCAGCCCCCTCCTCTCCCTCACTCTCTCTCTCTAATGATCGTCCAATGGTGTTGTCTGTCCCTCCTCCCACTTCCCACTCCCACTCGGGTTCCTCGGCCCGGCCCATGTTTTTGTATGTCGGGTGTCCGTCCGCCGCCTGACGTTCAAGTTCGCCGGGAACGTCACGTCCGTGCACTTGAACTTGCACGGCTAGAAGGGGAGGGGTGGTGTGTGTGTGTGTGTAGGGGGGTGGTGGGGTGGGCTGGGGGGGTTGGAGGGGGGCTTTTGCCATTTTTTTTTTCAATCTCACTCCCCTTCTCTCTCTCTCCATCCACCTCACACTCTCTCTCTCTTTTTTCTCTACTCTCCTTTCTCAAAAAAGCCATGACGGCGATCCCGCGATCCATCCTCGCCTCCGCGCTTTCTTTCTATAATTTCTAATTTATTTTATCAATATATATCTCTATTTTTTTTTACTCCGTCTCCTCCACTTCCTCTGGTAGATGTCCAAGGCGTTGGATGAAGATCTTTTCTCTCTTTTTTCCCCCCTCCTCCTCTCCTGTCACCCCGGCATCTCCCCGATGTGATCCGCGCTGAACGCAGCCGCTGAACAGCCACCATGTCTCGCCGCAAGCAAGGCAAACCGCAGCACCTCAGCAAACGGGATTTCTCGCGTAAGTAGAAGCATCTGAAAAGAGAGTTAGAAACACTTTTGTCTCAGTTCGGTCATCTGAGAGCCAAGGTGGGACAAAAAAAGGTGTAGTGGTGGTGGGAAGGGGGATTGGACACCGGACACTAACTGGACTTTGCAGCACCGTGAGAAAGTCTGACACCTTCTGTGCGTAAAATAAAAGGCTACCTTCATGAAGAGGGAGAGAAAGAAAGAAAAAGTTTTGATGGACCGGTTTTAAGTTCTGCGGCTCTGACAGGCTGGTAAACCTTGGACTTGGACGCCTCTCTGATCGCTTCGGTCAGAGCGTGTCCTCTCCGCAGCGCACCGTGGACAGATCCCCCCATTAGAATATCGCTTTCTGCAGTGCGATCTCGTCCACACTGGCTCCTTTTGGACGCAAAGGAATGGAAATGGATAGTGGACTTTTTTGTTGTTGTTTTTTTTATTCGATTCTATAAACATCAGTTTATATTTATGTTTTAACAGTTTCATCCTTTTAGCTGCGCGTAAAGTTGATGCAGCGGTTTTTTTTTTAATATAAAATACAAAATACGCGACAAATACTCTGCAAAAATATGTATAAAAATCATAAAAATAATAAGGAACAGATCACAAAATACTTTTGAAAACATCAGCCAAATTTGTAAAAAAAAAAGTAATTATACTTGTAGTTTTTTTTTTAGGATAAAAAACTTTTATATCCGACAGAATCTGACTTTTACGCACTCCGTCCGTTTCTCATAAAATACCTGTTTGTGTATTTCGAGGGGATTTATTTGTCCAGAAAAAGGTGTCAAATGTGAGGAGAAGCGATGTTTGTGTTTTGAAAAACAGTTGTCAAAGTGTGCGCCACTCTTTGCGGAACATGCTCAATAAAACAGGAGCTCGTTCAGTTTAGCGCATCTTTAGGCGTCGGTGCTTAATTACCTTTGGAAATCGTTGATGGGCAGTCGCGTGTGTTTAGTTTGGAGATGCAGACATTGTGATGTGTGTCTGTGTGTGTGTGTGTGTGTGTGGGTGGGGGTGCGTGTGTGTTTCCTTCAGAGGGGGCGCAGCGCAGTGACAATGACCCTGAACTGTCGCTAGGAGGCAGAGCGCGCTTAGAAAAATCCAGCTCCAAACTTGAACCTGAGGAGTTTCACCCCCCCCCCCCCTTGTCTATACGGATTGATGTTTTGCGAGCTCTTTACAATACAGTGAGAGCGAACAAGACGTAAGGATGGGTGGGGGGGCTGAGAGAGTGAGGGAGCACCCCAAACAAGCCCCCCTTCCCCCATTTGGTCCTCACCACCTCCGGATCTACCTTTTTCCGTCTCTGCACACATGCACAAGTTTTTAATCCTCCTCAGCAATTCAGAGGTTGTCCGTTTATTACTCACAACATCAACAAATTTATTTCATGTCTTCTTTTTTCATTCCCATTCTTCCAATTTTACACACAATCAGATATATTCTTTAGATCAATAAAATGTAGGATTTAGCAATGTCCTGCACGTTGTTTATCCCCTTACTGTACCTTCTGTATTAATTTTTCTCTTTGTAGTGTTTTGAAGGAACAATCTAACTAAAAAAAAAAGCATGTTTCTGAAAGGTGATGTTACAAATCATGTTATGGCATGTGAATTTAGTGAGCAGCAGACATATCCCCTCTGCTCCTCTTCTTGTTTGCTCAGCTCTAAAATTAGACACAGATGAGTGGCTTCTGCTTGTTGCTGTAGAACAGATTTTTTTGTGTTTTGTTTAAGGCTGATTTACCTCCTTCCTTCAGCCTAGACGTTCTCTCTCAAATTCACCTTCATGTATCCGGAGAGTTTTCCACATAAGTTCCATTAATTTAAGAGGAAATGGATGATACCACACCTCCTTTCGTCCAACTTGCTTTGACCTAAAGTTTAATCAAAGACAGAGAATATTTTGGAAGCTGTGCTGCTTGGCCTGTAGAATCCACGTCCCAGTTTGATGTCGCTCAGGACCCTGGCATCCACATATTTCCTTGAGGGAGATGTACTCCAAATCACAATCCCCCCCCCCCTGTACGCACATACTTTCAGGCAGACACACGTGTGTGCACACGGAGCTGCGTCCCATCTCCCTGCCCCTCATACCGTTATCAGACCAAAATCTGTATCCAATCACCCGGACGGTGAAAATTAAAATCTATTTTTTGATTCTCAGTGGTCTTAAGTTCATTAAAATGTGAAATTGGTGGATGAGTAAAGAAGGTCAGCGCACATTAGGCTACTAGCTCAGAGTCAGACTCTTCACCTTGGACTGGAAGATTTTCTTTTAAAAGAGGGACACTGTTTAAGTCCCAGTTTGCTGCTTTGCTCTCTCCTTACTGCTCTCTGAGATCAACAAAACGATTCCTTAAAAAGCAGTTATGTCTGTGTTTTCTTCACCTTAGGAGAGAGAAATTGGGCTCGTATGAGCCTGAGCTCCAAGTGAAGCACACGTTATCGAAGCTGAGGGACAAGACAAACCAGCCCTCCTATACCCCCGTCTCTCCCCCTGTCTCTCCTTCTGTCTGCCCTGTCTTCCCCTCTCCTTTTGCAGCACATGTGCTGGATGTGTTTGTGACAATCCTCCGTGCTGATTAAAGGCTCAGCCCGTGTACAAACACGGACCGCCAAGTCAAAGTCATCCACATATTTAGGTTTTTCAACGCATCATTTTCTAAGCTCCCCCTGTCATTGGCTATAAAATTGTTATCTTTAAAGCCATGTGATTGGAGCTTTGCATCCATTCGGGATATTATTTCCCACCGTTTATTGCTGTGATCTGTGATTGAGATCCATCTTGCATTGTAATCATTTTTGCTGCATTTCATGCATTTCTATTATTACAAGGCCCATGTTCTCAGCCCCTTATTGTGTGAACCACATGTGAAGCTTTGTCTCTCTGTCGCTGATCCTCTGTGTGACAGCAGAAGGAATGTTTGGTCCCTCTCATCAGTTCGCAGCATGAGTTGTATCAATAGGTTGGAAAATAGGAATTTAAACATGAGTATCTAATTTCTATCCCCTCTGTCTCCGCAGCAGCTGAGCCCCTCTCCACGGCCGTCGTCTCGTCGGAGGAGCTGTCGGAGCGCTGCTCGGAGCACTCGGAGGACAGCGGCATTCTTAATGGGCACCACCCGGCCCCCTTGGTGGGTCGGCTGGCCCGGCTTGGTCCAGACTCTCATTCCTCTCCAGAGCAGGACCTCCTGACCTGTGGTCAGTGCCAGGCCACCTTTCCTCTGGCAGACATATTGCTCTTCATTGAGCACAAGAGGAAACGATGCCATGGCCCTCCCTGCCTCACCATAGGCAGGGGGCTGGACAAACCCCCTTCGCCCTCCCCAGGTTTGGCCCTCACCCCATCACCCGCTCTGAACACCCTGCGTGGCCGGAGACCAGTTGAAGTTGGGGTTCAGGCCACACTAGCAGATGAGGATGACGACAGGTTCTCATCGCCTCGAGGGATTTGTCCAAAACAGGAGCCCCTTCCAGGTAAACAGAGCAACTTGACCACCGCCAACTCTTTATGAAAACAGAAGCGCGGAGCTGCAGGAATCTGTACATTCAGAGCACTGGCTTGTGTATAGAAAAGGCTCTAAGCAGAACTACTTTAACTGTTCCATTTGTCATTTGGTGTAAAGTCAGTTTATATCTTAACTCACTAATGCTTCATGTTTTATCATGCTACAACAAGCAACCCTGTTATGCTGCTTCACTTGATCAAGGTTCCAAATGGACGCTTTTGTCTAAGAAAACACACCTTTGTTCTGCTGAGAGGGACTTCAGTAGAAGAAGGACTTTAATCAGCTTCATCTGCCACAATGTTTGTGTGCCTTTTTTCCTAGTCTGTGCAGCTAACCCACTGTGACCTATTCCCACTGGTCACTGCAAAGGAGACAGGGGTGCCCTTGAATTTTTGGTCCCACTGGCCACTGCATGTGTGTGTGTGTGTTGAGGATCTTTTTCCGATCAGTGTCTTTTAGTCTCAGGAGCAACTGCAGCTTGTCTCTGGGATTCTGTATTGTTAACTTCTCTTGCTCTGCCTTCCCTCCCTCTTAGGGTAGCATATTTTACCAGAATGAATTTGGCCCAGATCGTTTTTTCCCCTCTCTGAGTTTACCTCCTCGCCGGAGGATCCTTCTACCTTCCGCTTTCGGATCAAACGAGGGCCTTGCCCACGGAAGGGCTCTAACACCACTAATTATTTGTTACAGTGTGATTTTTTTCCCCCCTCTTTCTTCCTTCTGCATTTTAATTAGCAACAGCTTTTAACAGAGTACTAAATTAGCTGTTGCAAAGAGAGAGAGAATAAAAAGCACCTATCATAAGCCTGTTTGTGGAATGCAGCTCAGGAATTTGAGAAAATGAACCCAATATTTAACATTTGGAGCTGAACTCAGTTCCCATGATTGAAACGGGGAGTCAGATGAGGGCATTGTTTTGGGAAAACATGATCCATCCCCGTCCTTCTCTCTATGGTGGTAAAAACACCAGCTTACATTTTCTGGTTTCTGTACGTATAGAAAATGCACACACACAACCACACACTCACACACCTCCTTACACACTCTTACTCTCGCAGACACTCACCAGCTAAACTGGGTTATTAGAGCGATTTACATCATAATAAGAGCGTCTGGTTGCTTGAATAGTGCTGCGTGTGGGAACGTCTTGGTGGGAACAGCTGTACGCTCAGACAGGACAGAAAAACAGGACAGCAGCAGCATATATCTTCTCCAAGCTTGACAACACACTGAGCAGTGGTCAGACCAAACACTATTAAAAGTTTGCATCTTTTTTTGGATTAAAAGGGGGGAAAACCCTCCTTAAATGGTCTGTTTAATTTACGTCATACCCTTTAATTGTCCTTTCTCTCCGCTGCGCTTTTCTCCGCTGCGACACAAACACCCAATCCCTGCAAAACATCAATTTTGATATATAATAAATAAAGCTAGCCCCCCCCACACTCAACACCAGCTTTCATCCTAATTGACCCCAAACTGGCAGGGGATGGAGAAAAATATAATAATCTGCTGAGGCTGCAATTGTGGCGATCCAAAAGTATTCAGAGTGACCATAAAAAAGAAAGACTGCATTGTAAATCGTCTGCTTTATACATTTTATAGAGCCTCTGAACAAGGGGAACAAAAAGGAATCAAAATGCAACTTATTCATATTACTGCCTGGACTATATGTATTTGAGTGATAATGCTGAGTGGACAAAATTGAGATTTTATTTACCCTCATGTTTGCATCGGCAAGCATCCTGCACATTTTAACCTGCGTTCTGTGCAAACTGAGTGCATGTGCATTATGAAAAATAAACATCTGCATCTGAGCAATACAAAGCCGTTTTTTATTTTCATTTTTCGCAACAAACAAACTGCTCTGGCCTAGTTGTTTTGTGTGTATGTGTGATAGCTAAATAGGAAAATCAGTGGTGCCCAAAAAGGCTGCATACCTGACCGTTCAAGCTCCACACTCACACACACACACACACACACATGCTTAGCGCTCTCTTGCTTGCCCATTTATTCTATTAATCCCTAACTGAGATGAAAATTCTGATTATAATCCCTCAGGCAGTCCCTCGCTCAAAAAGGGCATCGCTAATGTCTCAAAAGAGAGAGTGGTCTGTGTGTATGTGATCGGCTTGTCTTGTCCTATTTTTTCTCACCGACGGTGGATATTAATGAAACAATTCTTGGGTTGGAAGATTGAAATTTAGAGGGAATTCTTTGTGGATTTCATCGACTATAAATACAATTCCTCCTGTTTGGTTTTCCAAATTGATTTCCTCATGATAAGGTGCAAGTATTTAGCACACGTGGTTTAGACGTAGAGTTGGGATGAGGCCAGCGATTTGCATTTCAGTGAAACATTGGCTGATAAGCTATCTGTATTAGCTCATTAGCGTGGATATTATCGCTACAAGAGCAGGATGATGAATCCCCCCAAAATTTCTCACATTTCTGAACCCAAAATATCCGGTCCTCCATTCTGCTTCGGCCCCGCTGAAGTGCCGTCCTGGCTCAAAGCCGTGCACCACAAGCATTGTTAGTCTATGATCTACTGATTAGCAATTAGCTTATCATCACCGGCTAATGCTGCCCATCTCAGTGCACATTAGTGCAAATTTTAACACCCAATCACAGTCTGGCTGTATTTCAGATCGTGCTCCCTCATCTTGTGTCTCTCATCTTCTATTTCTTTTCCCTGTTTGGCTTTTCTCTCTCTCTCTCTCTCTCTCTCTCTCTGAGTCTCACCCTGATGCATTAGCAGTCAATGCAAATCCAGGACAGCCAATTGATACTGAATCAATTACTGTATGTTTGGTAAGCATGTGTGTGAGTGTGTGCGTGTTTCACACTGTGGAACATCCCGGCGAGCCTAACAAAGAGATTTCACACGCTGGCTGCCATCACTAATCTATTGTCGCTCTTCCTTTTTATCCGCCTTTCTTTTTTTCTCCACATAAGATTTTATTTAGTGGACTCGAGTGCTGTGCTGCGTTTGAACAGCTCCGCCACAGTGAATGGCGAATGCACAAACACTGGTGTGTGTGTGTGTGTGTGTGTGTGTGTGAAAAGCAGAGGCAGGATAGTGCATGTACTATTACATCGTAACTGGAATGACTGGAAAAGCTAATAATCTGCTACCAAAACCAGTAGCCTTTTCTTTGTTTCATATAATTATATTTAGATAAACATTGCTGCTAGAATGTATTTGCTTTCTTACAGAGTCCCTCTGATTTTAAGGGGTTATTTTAAATTAATTTTTTAAATATCTGCAATAATCTTACTAGATATTAAAGTGGCATTGAATGATGAAGTAATTTATTTAGGGAAAATACAAAACTATTCCAAGTTGGATTGTCCTGTAAATATATACCTATAGAAAATAATCTAACCCAAAAACCTTTTTGCAACTTCTGGTGGCTAAAATTGGCAACAAAATGATTTTGACCCACTCCTCTTTTCTGAATTTTTTTTATTCAACCAAATTTGAAGGACATTTTTAAGGTCACGCCACAGCCACATCTCAATCATATATATTCCCAGGCTTTTGTCGTGGCCCTTTCCATCTGAAGCCTACAAGTGAGCTTGCTCACATAACATGCCTGAGCATATTCTTACCACCTTTGGGCACCTTCCACAAGAATTCTCTAATAGGAAAAAGAACTTGAATCAAGTATAGAAAGTAGTTCATTTCCAGAGCACCAAAGTACCCAGAGCCCTAATACTAACACCACAGTCTTCAAGTTTAAGTTTCAGTAAAAACAGAGTTTGGATACTTTTTATCCCATGACATATGCAATTATAGAAAAAAAAAGATGTTTTTACTTTATTCAGATTTAAAAATGTCACATTTTGAAATACCTAGAAGATTGAAAAACTAAATCTTACTTTTTGTGTTATTTAAAATACATATTCATTGCATAAATATACATATACTGATGCAATTAACTATCCACTGTGGTTACATGCATCATGAGGACAGTTAGGTGCAAAGTCGAAAACTTGATGAAGAAGGGCTTACTTAGCTACATCACTTTAGAAAATGATATTTACTACTGAATCTGACTCCATTTTGTTACAGTTAAATTGTAGCTGGGATGTAAATAACTGAGCTCCAATCTGGCTGTATGGCTGGATCGAATTTATTTGATTTAATTAAACATTTCTAATAAGAGCTGGAACTCTTAGCCTTTTAAAAGAAATTTGATTTTCCTTTCATGAATTTATGAACTATAAATCAATTGAAGTGAATTACATTATTTAGTTCCAATCAAAAAAAAGGTGACTATGGGCAGCATGGGGACGCTTATGATATTAAGAGAAGTAATAAAACAAAGACGAGGTGCTTTGACTTGAGCTTTATTCTGTTTGGTAATTCCACAGCACACACACCCACACTGTTATATAAGACAGCCTTAAAGTGTTAACTACCATAAACCTCGTCCTGCGTCTTCGTCTGGCAGGTTTTCTGCTTGAATATTTATAAAGCTGAGGAATCCAGGCTTTCAGCAACTGCAGAGAAGATTTCGTTAAGCTCCTGGTTTTGAACCCCGTCCGCTTAGCGAGCACCTCCGTCCTCCTCTGTCTGCAGCTCTCCTTTCTCTCCCAGACTTGTGAAGCTTGAGGCCCAGGCTGAGGTAACCCTGATGACATCTCGACAACATCACCAGTGTTACTTGTGACTCCTCCGGAGGCGCAGAGGGGATCATACAACTGATTTTTCTATGCTTTTTGGTTTGAAAAAGAAAAAAAAAGGGCGAAACAACGGATTTAGATTAAAGTTAACGCTGAATACGATCCTGAGTTTGACCTTTGACTTATCTATGGAGTAGCTGAGGGATTCCCTGCGGTGATCATTAGAATTCTGCACATACTTATAGCAGGTTGTTTAGATTTTTGCTTTTTTTTTTTAAGTATTTTTCTCGTGCTTATAGTAGTGATTGGCATTTTACATTTTTCTTGCAACAAAGCACG